TTCTTCGGTATAATACTTTATTCCTAGCAACTTATCGTTGTTTTCAAACCCTGCAAATTGCTTCTGCGAAATTCGTTCTATCACATAAGACCGTCCGGGAACCCCACCGATTCTAGGAACAACACTACTTCACCCTTCTCATAGGCAAAGAGGATTTCTTAAGAAATCTTTCATTTCTACTCGAAATAAAAAGAATGTCGAAAAAAAATTAAGAAAAGAAAAAGAAACAAAAATTTAATACAAGGGTGCACTCAAAGGATTTTCCATAGATTATCTCAAATCTTCTTGTTAAAAATAATTCTCAAAATTATGCAGATCCAAAAGCAGCACTTTATGATAACCACTTCTTATAAGCCTTAGTTCTTTTTGTTACTATCAAAAAACTTCCCCACCAAAATTTACTTTTCGCATTTTTCATGACAACTTAAAACCCTGTTCTTGTAGAGCAAATTTAAATGCATCTATACGACGCGGCATTTGTTTATAAATTTTTGTTCGAGTCAGATCGGATTTGCATACGGCCAGCATCAGGTCTCCTAATTTGAGTCAAGCATCGAGCTGTGCAAGTCTTATGAAAAATGTGTTTTGCAGATTTTACAGCTAAACAGGTGCTCTAAATGTGCGTGGTGTATAATGAAAACTTTATGTTTGGTAATCTCTTCCTTCCAAAAGTTAGATGCAGAAGTGGTGATAAGTCCGACGAAGATTCATGTTGAGTTTCCAGCACTGCAGGAGAAAAATATTGCTAAATTTTTCAAAAAATTTATAATCTTTGATGCAGGATGATTAGTTTCTATAGCTGCAACAACATAAACGCCGTCAGCGCAGTAAGAACGGCTTAAGAAATGTCGTTTTTTCAGAAATTAGTTTTGATGAATACTTGAAGAGGTAAAGGTCAGATTTTCAAAAGTCGATTTTCCACTTTAAGGCCTTCTATCATTATTATAGTACACATCCCAATTTTGCATTATATGAGTACTAAAAGTCAACGACAAATACTCAAAAAATTCGTGATTACACTCAATCGTTCTGTTGAAATGCTGTTGAAAATTCAGTTCTAAATGCATAGCAGTCGTCAAACTGGCACCGACAAATGCTTTTTTTTTTTTTTTGCTCTTTCAGATTTTAACAGAATAAATGTTAGAAATAAAAGTTTACTTTTGCGGAAAACAGATAGCAGCAGAAAAATTTCAACAAATGATTCATCGTTCCAGTTTTATGGTTTCTTTCTTGTCCGTCACTGATATGCCAAACTGGCTTCCCTAGTTTTTATTTATACTTTGAACTATAGTTTTCCATTCTTACTGTTTTTAATGATATAATATTTTGTTAAAATTGGTATTTTCACCTTTTCGCGTTGAAATTCAATCTTCAAAGTTTTAATCTACTATGCCGTACTTGGCTAATGTCAAAAGGTATCTCTTCTGAAGATTATATTCATCAAAATGACTCAAGTCGTTTCCTTCTTGATCATTTTTAATTTCCATCCACCGAAGTTCTGATGGTACATTACTGACGATTATGCATGAAATGTTCTTGTTATTAAATGAAAGTAATGGTAGTATTTTACTGGTTTTTTATTTTTTATATCATACCGGTTGAGCATCGAAAACAGTTTAAAATTTAATACTTTTTTTTGAGTGGCATAATACATTAATTTTCAGCCTACT